GTGCTCTTCTTCGCTCCTCGAATAGACCAGGATATCGTCGATGAATACGATGACGAATTTATCCAAGAAGGGTCGACACACTCGATTCATCAAATCCATGAACACCGCGGGCGCGTTAGTTAACCCGAATGGCATCACTACAAACTCATAGTGCCCATAGCGAGTTCTGAATGCCGTCTTGGGGATATCCTCTTCTTGAACTCGCAGTTGATGATAGCCCGACCTCAGGTCGATTTTTGAAAAGTAGCTGGCTCCTTGGAGCTGGTCGAAGAGGTCGTCGATTCGGGGTAGGGGATAACGGTTCTTGATAGTGAGTTTGTTTAGTTCTCGATAGTCTATGCACATGCGAAAAGACCCATCCTTCTTCTTTACAAATAAGACTGGTGCTCCCCAGGGCGAGAAGCTTGGCCTGATGAATCCTTTACTCAATAGTTCATTCAACTGGCTGGATAGTTCTTGCATTTCTGCTGGTGCTAAGCGATATGGAGCCCTGGCGACGGGGGTAGCTCCTGGGATTAAGTCGATCCGAAATTCGACTTGTCTTGCGAGTGGTACACCAGGCAGATCGTCTGGGAAAACATCAGGGAAGTTGCATACTTCTGGAATTTCTTTGATGTCCTTCACCTCCTGTTTCTTATCTACGATGTGGGCTAAGAAAACATGGTATTGCTTTCGGAGGTACTTTTGGGTTTTAACACAAGAGATGATTTGTAGGTTCGCACTAGGTTTATTGCCATAAACGGTGAGAACGTTGCCATTCGGCAGATTGAGGCGGACGGCCCTTTCGTAACATAGAATGTCGGCACGATGAAGGCTTAGCCAATCCATACCAATGATTATATCGAAGCTTTTTATGGTGACCGGCATAAGGTCGATTTTGAACAAATGGTTGTCTAGAGTGAGAGTACACCCTATGAAAATATCATTAGCGCGCTCAACCTTTCCATTTGCCATTTCTACGATGTAAGAATCTTCTAGTGGTTGAGAATTTTGTTTAAGTATATGTTTGAATTGGTGACTTATGAAACTTCTTTCTGCCCCACTATCGAAAAGTACGCATGCATAAGAGTCATTGAGGAGGAACGTACCAGTAACCACAGAGGGATCCTTGACTGCTTCTCCCTGCCCTAAAGTTAGGACTCTCCCTACACCCCCAGCATTAGGGGCTCGTGCCTTGGGGCAGTTCCTCCTGAAGTGTCCCGTTTCACCACACCCATAGCAGGCTTGGCTTGCTCCAGTGTTGGCGGTCGTAGCGACTTGTGTGGCGGGTTGGGTAGTCGCTCTACAGAATCGTGCAGTGTGCCCCTTTTTGTTACAGTTATTGCAGTGTAACTCACGACAAGCACCGTTATGGTGGTAGTTACACTTGTTGCACTTGGGAAGAGTTCCTGTATACTGTTTCGGTGGCGCTGGAGCGGCAGCAGTAGTGGCGGCGCGAACAGCAACAATTGGTTGCTTTTTGGCGGGGTCCTGAACTGGTTGTTTCCTTTTATTTCCCCAGAACTTCCTCTTGTTGTTCCCTCCTTTTGTTCGGTCGGTGGTGGTTATCACGGTACCACGGCTAGCCCTGTGATCTATGAGTTGTTGTGCCAATTCCTTGGCACTCTCAAAGGTAGTGGGTTTCGAGGCCAAGACACTATCTTGAATCTGGGACGATAGGCCCCAGAGATATCGTTCCACCTTCTTCTCTTCTGGAGTGACCATTGTTGGACAGAGGAGTGCTAGGTCATTGAAGCGGGCAGTATATGTTTCAAGATCAGTGCCTGTCATCCTGAGGTTCCAAAGTTCTTCTTCAAGTTTTTGTATTTCGCCCCTCGGGCAGTATTCCTTTAACATTAGGGCTTTCAAATCCTCCCAGCTGATTGCGTTAGCTACTGCAGGAGTAAGTGACTTAACTCGGCCATTCCACCAAGTAAGTGCTTTTCCAGTGAAAGTGAATGCCGCATACTTGACCTTGCTCGGTTCGGGACAAGCGCAGATTTCAAAAACTGCCTCGGTCCTTTCGAACCATTGCACCAGTGTGATGACGCCCCCGCTTCCATTGAAAGGATCGGGTTTGCCATTCGTGAAGTCTTTGTAAGTGCACTCCCTCGTACGCCCCGCGCTGTCCCCATGAATGGAATTGGTAGCTCCGGATCCAGAACCGCCGGAACCATGGGTTCCCATTTGCGACATTGCTGCCGCCACGGCTGCCGTCACTGCAGCCTGGAACATTGCAGGATCAAACTGCGGAGGTGGTGGTGGAGGCGGCACTGGGTTGTTGGAAGGCCTTGGTCTTTTCCTTGGTGGCATGGTTCTGTCATAAAAAAAAAATGACTAGTCGGTAAGACTTCAATAGTGATAACGAGTCGAGTGTTACTGGCTTCATCCCTCTTGTATTTTATCATAACTTTATTATTCGTAATTGTTTGTGTGATCAGGTTATGATGTGTAGTGTCCAACATTCAATAAATAGAATACATGCCAAATTTCATTGATAACTTTTAGTACATAACGCTTAGAGAGAAAAGTTTGACCTCATAAGGGTCTACATTACATCGTTACAAAAGGTAGTTTTTGGCATTACAAAACCCCTTTGAATAGTGTGATCACATAGTCGCAGGGTCGACCTACATACAAGGAGTAGCACCAACGCGTACCATAAAATTCTACTACCTAGACGGGAGAATAGCAACGAGCTCTAATCACTGCGACCCTTCTTTGACGGAGGCTGCGATGATGTCGATGCGCCCTGTAGTTCCGCCAATTTGCGTTCGGCTGCAACCATTCTCTCTTCGAGTGCCATGTATCTTTCCCGATACTCTCTTGTTTCTGCTTGAGCCGCGAGAAGGTCTCTAATGAGTTGGTCTCGGTGGTGGGAGTCTCGTTCCAGGTTTCTGGTGCGACCGTAATAGACTGTACAATGGCACTTAACTCCCGGACCTGATTTGTCGTTGTCCTACCACGATCATCCATTCTTGACATTCGTTGTATCGTGACGGGGAGAGCCCTATCAGCCGGTCCACCATGAGTGAGATCATAGTAACCTCGTTGGTAGCCATATGGTGACCGTTGGCGTTGTTGTCGGCTCCATCTTTCGATCATTGTTACCCAAGGGGGTTCAGGTCCATTGTAACCAAAACGGTGCGCGGGTACCCTCGCGATGTAGGGAGGGTTGAATACTTCTGGTTGTTCCTCCGCTTCGTTCCCAACCATGACTACCTCATCACCTTCCTCTTCTTCCTCTTCTTCCTCTTCTTCTCTTCTTCTTGGTTGTCTTCCTCTTCTTCTTCTTGTTCGTCTTCCTCCTCGGGCCCTTCCTCGGGATCCTCTTCGGGATCTTCCTCGGGCTCATCTTCAATCCATCCCGCGTTTCCCGATTGGGAAAGTAGGGGTCCCCGGGTATGTGAAATCCTACCATGTCGTCTGCACGAGAAACGGGGTTAAGAAGTATGTATCGGAAAATAATAATTTGGCGCTATAGAAACGTACAAATACTCCTATAGTATTTTTAAATGTTTATATTTGGTTCTTAGCGTGTTCTTTATGGAGTGTTATTAGGTTTTCAGATTTGTCGCTCATTACGACTATTCCTTAATGTGCGTAAGTCACTTCTTGGACGGATATAGTTGATCAGGCTATATCCTTCCCAGAACTGATTACACATGCTAAGGCGTATTAATAATGTTCGACTCCTCCTCTTTCAATTTATGTTCTCCTAAGTTATGACACCATGCTAGTATAGAATGCATGCAAGTATACTTTAAAACAAGAAATTATTTGTTTTCTAAAAGTACAACTCTTTAAATCACTTTAAGAATCAGAGACTTTTAGTCCCAAATGTGTTTATAGTTTGTATATCTTATGTGGTTGATATACTGAATTCACTATAAACCGTGCTCTGATACCAATCTGTCACACCCCCAAACCAAGGATGGCGGAAACGTTCGGGGGTGGAGGACTTCATGTATAGCATCATAACCACAATTTCAATAGTAATTCAAGCAAACACAACCAACATATATATAATTGAGAAGTTACATCACTTGTATGAATTACATGTTTCAAAATCAATTACAATATGTTGTCAAAATATGAAAAGTTTGACGCCTCATCGTCCCATCCTCAAAAGCACTTAGTAACCCGATTAATGTTTTCCTGTGAATACAAGTTGTTTGAAAAGTGTCAACACAAGGGTTGGTGAGTTCATAAGCTTTTATTGATAATCTTATTAGAAGTCTTTCTCATGTAAATGCCGCGTTGTTTCAGAAAAAAAATCCGATATTTTCTTTAAAATCTGCGTAATGTAGTCTTATGACTGAAGACCAAAATGTATAAGTAACCTTTCTTATTAATAGAAAATGTTATGTACTTAAATGGACATGGACGCGTTTGAATTAAATGAAATTTCTGAATGTTCTCATGTTCGTTAATACTTTATATATATGTAGTCCTAAATTAGAGGACCGAGAAATAACAAGTATTGACCATACTTAAAAGTATAATGTGGTTTCAAATGATGTGTAGTCGTAACTACCAAAACCAAAAGTGTACAGTAATATCTGTACTAATAGAGATAAAAAGTGATTTTAAATCGACATAAAACTCATTTAGGTTTTAAAAATAAAATCCCGTAAACTTATGGATTGTTGTCTCCCTAAGTGAGTCGCTATAATCATACTGTGACTATGTGAACCTGCCACACGTTTCTCAGGCGTCGCGAAAATGAAATGACATTTGTCACCCGTAGACCTGCAGGTCCACTGTAGCTAGCAGCAAGGTGTGGGGTGTCAAACCAATATAGATCTATATACAAGTATCACGTTCTCCTCAAGGAGATTCTGATTTAA